GGGACAAGGGGCGAGAAAGGGTGCAGGGGCAAGGAGGGTGTGGGGAGAGGGAGGGAGCGGGGGCTGGTGGCTAGAGGGTACGGGGGCAAAGTCGAGGAGGGAGTGGGGCAGGGGCGAGGAGGGTGTGGGGGGCGAGGTTCTCTTCCTGTAAGTTAAATGAAATTTCTACTTATTAATTAAAATATCTTCTTCTCTATTTAAAAGATATTGAATATCGTCTTCTAGACCCACTTATTATAAAAGTTCAATAAAAGTAACTCCCCAAATTCTGGTATGCAAATGACATTAATAAAAGTTTAGAGGCAAACTGCATTGGATGAAAATTTGGAAGTTGGGGGATTGATTGGTATGAACTCAAACGCAAGAAAATGAATTTCAGGTCATTCCAAAGCATGGAAGGAGAGCTTATGCCCAAATCTCAAACTTCACGACATTTGTCTCCTCAATATTCCTTAGTAAAAATCAAAAGAAGATCACTCAATAGTTTTACAAGAAAAGGTGCAAGTTGGATTAAGAAATCCTGCAGTGAGTTCAGAGACAAGAATCAACGAAATCAAGGTAAGGATTCGTCCCATCTTCTTTTTTAGTACATGGTCAAAAGCATAATATGTTTTAGAAGTGCTTAGCATTGAAATGATGTGGAATCAAAGTCTTGAGACCATAAAATTTGATTAAAATGAAAACTACTCATCACAAAGTTCTATGAGAGCACTTTACCCGCATACTCATTAATTTGATTTCTTGCATTTTAATTTAATTTTTCAAATTATTATTCAACTACAATAATTAATTTTTCAAATTACCTTGTGTTTGGTTAAATTAATTGACCTAGTTGAACATCTTCATAGGATTCTCATATTCATCAACTTTCTAATAGGAAGATTTGGTGCTCTAACCAAAAGGCCTTTGGCCTCCCAAGAGATCAGGGGTTCAAACCTCACCAAAGGTGAGGAGGGTGTGAGTTTATTTGTTGCATTTCCCGTATATAAAAATTATATACTTCAAAAGAAAAGATTGGTGCACTAGTTATACTATAGTTTTGTATGCATCAGGACACTTCAATTAAAGTGGACCGGGACCCTTGTCATTAAGAAAGTAAACAAAACCATGATAGTTTGCATAAGTAGTAGTGTAAAGAGAATTCTAAATCATGAGATACTAACCCTTCTTCCCGTGCAATATTGCATAGTCAAAACTTGGCTAGTGGTAAGCTCCTGGGTGTATAAATGTGACGATTAGTCCACAAAACTCAAGAATATATAGCTTCATTATGCATCCATAAAATGATGACGCATACCTGAAAAACCATAGGGACTTTGATTCTGCTACTTTGCTTGAAGTTTATGGCAGTTCTGACTGAATTTCTTGCTTCCTGAATGAAATCTGTCCAGTAGATTAAATTTAGTATATTCACATATCAAGGAAAGAAAAGGCAACTGGAATAATTCACCTTACATGATCTAGTGCTGGTCTTTTTTTCAAGTGCTGAAGGCTAAACCTATACCCACTAAAAGAAGTGCAATAGATCAAGGAATTAGCACTTAGGATTTAGCAACCATTTTCTCTCTTTCTTCACAGCACCATTTCTTTCTTGTTGCTTATTTTCTTAGCATTTCCAACATACACAGGAGCATGAATTATAGATTTTTCAGACTAATAATGCTCCTTGGATTTACCCGCATACATCAAAATGACTTGTGCTTCAGTTAAACTTGCAATTTAACTTGAGGTCATATTTTGGTGTGAGCAAGAATCATGAAAGGTGGATAACCCCTTGAATGTCAACACCTTAGTTGACCTTACATACCTTACTGGAGTACTAGTTAACAAAGTATTACAGGAAAGAGGACATATAGGAAGGTGAAATCGAATTGATGCTCAAACCAGGAGATAATAAAGTACAAACTCAGGCGTATGCTAGAAAGAATACGGCAACGCATCAAGCAATTTTTCAAACTTAGTTTAGCTCACCAAGTTCCAAAGCAATCACCTCTGAAAATTCTGATACCATCCACTGAAACCTGTATTCAGGAAAAAACTGTAGAAAGAAGAGAAGCAAATTAAGAGAACGAACGTTATTTATCCAAAGTATCAAATCTTTAAGGCAGATAAAAGACTGCAGAAGGTAAGTTTAAAGCAACCAAAAAGATCAAGTTAAAGAATATAAGTTCAGTAAAATTAATAGTTCGACATATGTACATGTTAGGAAAAAAGGCTCATTATGTTAGGAAAGTATTCCAAGGTTCGTTAGGGTTTCGTTAAACAGTCAATCTTTGCAAACTATGTTACTAGATTAATCTACAGTAATAAATCATCTTTTTGGAGAATACCTATCAACATATGTTTCAGAACCACAAGCTTTTTATACAAACTCTAGTTTCATCATCACCAGCTGCCATTTCAACCCTAACCGCCACTTCTACTCCCACCTGAAATAACCTAGACGTAACAAAATTATAACCACATCTTACTTCCGATCACGGTCACATCTACATCTGACAGTCACAAACCCTGAGTCTGGTATGTGAACCATGACATTGCTGGTCACTGTCACAGCAAAATCTGGCAACTGCAAACTGATACCCAACTTTCCGCTACAATCATGCTTCTGAATCTGATCACAACACCAGTCGACTTCTCTGATCAATACCAAGTTTCAGTTTTCTATTCTTAGTTACAATCTCTTGCTTCCCGGTTTCTTGGATTGCTGTGGCAAACTACAGCAGGTCATTTTTTACCAACTAATGCCTTGTTTATCTCAAATAACTCTACAGTACGAAATAACATACAAACAGCTTAAAGTAGTATCGATTATGGAAGGGATTTTTCTTTGCACTTGATTCGACTATAAGGCTTTTCTCGATTGCACAATCTGGTCATTATTCATAAGGAGATCATCTGCATTGTGTATTTACATCAAGAATCAAGCTGCTATAGCTGTATGGGTACACAAGTTATTTGGATTTTCTGTTTGATACTTGGTTTATCGTTCAATTTATCTTCCAGGTTCTATCAAATTTTAGTTTACAAGCAAATCAAAAAACACAGAATAACAAGTTCACAACAGCATAATTCACATCATCCATACCCATGTGACACATTTGGCGAGTAAAGACATTGTTGCAATGTCCATCCTCATCCGATCTTTTAACCCAGGATACTGGACCTGCATTCAAACCATAAAATCCCAATTCTCAACACGGTTCATCTCTGTACGAATTGAACAAGGCATACAATAGAAAGATACGGATCAGATAGGAAATTACTGCACATGTAAATATTGCCAAATAGACAGCCAAATGTCAATTCAAAAAAGCTGCAAACATGGAAATAATAATAACCTTACAATCAGCCAGTAGTATGAACATTATTTCTAAACTGTGGTGCCAAAACAGTAAAGCGAAGGTGAATGCTAAATGGCGACTTTTGATGCAAAATTTATATTTTACCCTTCTTTTTACTTTTTGAGCATTTTTAGAATTGAAAAAAATAAACTTTCCTTACACTAGGTTTCACATGTAATTTACCAAAACCTATCTTTGAATATAGATGATAAGATAGAATAACATTTGGCTAATAAATTGCAAAAGGAAAACACTTTTTGGAGCATCCCAATCCCAGAAAAGCACAATCAAACATTATTGTCATTATAGAATTAAATCTATTTTTGGTTTCATTTACTCATTATCTACATCCATCAGCACATCCATGAAAAGTGAGAGAAAATAATTAACACGTTTAAAAAATGACAGATCTCACTTGAACATAAAAAAGTTGATATATCATTCTTAGTTATTAACTCATAGAAGATTTTGGATGCTTTTCTAAAACGAAGGGACAAATGCAATAGTGGTGTATTAAGCAACTATAACAATTTTACATGTCAGCTAGCGATAGTTCTCCATGGCTCAAAGTGTGCACCACAACCAATTTTTTTAAGCATATTTCATGATATTGATTGTACATACTTGCTATACTTGTTTAACCTTATGTCAAGGCATTGACTGTGCATACTTGCTCTAAGCATACTTCATGTTATTTAATGTGTATACTTCGTTTCCCAAGCTTTGCTTCAAGGTTTTTTCAACTCTCTTGCTTTTGTTATGTTTACTCTTCACAAGAACTTTTTCGCAAGTCCCCCCGACAGACTCTTTACTCCTTGGGTCAAGAGAAAAGGTTGCATACATCTTACCCTCCCCAAGATCCCACTTCACATGGGATTCACCGGGTTCGTCAGGTTGGTTTGGTTTAGTTTCGGTTCAAAATTTTAAATTGCACATATATTACCATTATACGTTCATACTTCCAGATGTACCCTTGAATTTTATAAAAAAAAAATCCATTGGAATCGTATGGCATTAAGAGTCCTTAATACATCCACAAGCACACTCAGGGACTGAGCCTATTGTAATTATGTAAATGTCAGCCAAGTTGATTTTCGTACGACTTTGTTTAGATCTATCATCATTAATCTTCTCCGAAATAGATAATGAATCCAAATTACTTTTCTCTTCATTAAATATTTGTCCATGGTTCTTAAAATATTTTCAAACTTAACGAATCACTAATTGACAACCCCATATGAAATGAACCTATATAATAAAACAAGAAACAAGCAAAACCAAGGGATTTTAGTTTACAACTTTTTGATATTAGTTTACATTCAGTGGTAGTACATGATGTATTAAAGTACGGTTTGGGAAACCACTAAAATTCCGCCAGGGGGGGGGTGGAACTAATAGCACCAAAACCCCTTGGCCTAACCAAGTAGAGATCATTATGCATAATCAAGGGTTTACGTATTCTCAACAAGGAAGTAAGGAGGGCAGAATGGTCTTTCAGGGGTTGTAAGTCTGTTGAGGTTGGTACTGGTGGTTAAGTCGGTGCTTTTGGGAGTATAAATAGGAGGGATCTAGAGAGGAGAAGCATTCTGGAAGATTCTTTCAACTGGGAGAGGGCCAATCTCTCTGATATTGGCTTAGTAGTAGCAGTAGTTGTGTTCTTGTTGGTTGTAAGCATTCCATTTTAATCAGAGGTTGAAATAATTGAGAAATAAAACCTTATTTGATTCCAGTTGTTCATCAGCCTGTGCACACCCTGGCCATGCACTGGCTCCGTACTTGAGCACACTCATCCATGTGGAACTTTTAATATCTAATAGTTATTTGTTGGATAAATCATACGAACCACATGTTATATTGCTAGGACTCACTAATCATTAGCAAAGATTGTTCTCATACTCATTGGAGGTCAATCCTTCCAACAAATTTGATAATTCAACAGAAAGGACTCTAAAGAGCTATTTTTTTCCACTTAGTTGGGTAGCAACGGTTTTGACGTTCAAAAGTCTTGGTTGTTTTTTAAACATATCATTCGATCGCTTCCTAAAGGCATACTGAATACTAAATCCTAACCATCCAGATCCCATCTGTGAGTGTTTTTAGTTTTTTTAAGTATATAATATTTATATACAGCAAATGCAACAAATAAACTCACACACCCTCCTCACCTTTGGTGAGGTTTGAACCCCTGACCTCCTACTCCTAGGAGGCCAAAGACTACAATACCGCTAGGGCAAAGGCCCTTTGGTGTGTTTTTAATTCTTTTCGACAAAATATGGAGGAAGAAACTTTAGACCTCCAAACTTACAACACTTTACCTCTCAAGGTGTTTTTATATCTAAGCAAAATTTACATGCTTCTTGACACGAGCTATTACTATGTCCTTTATTTTGGTTACGCTTAAATTTTAATTAAAAAATTACTTGTAGTTTTTAAATGAAAATCTTTTTTCATTGTACTCTATATTTGGATAGGAATCCTAACAGAAATTAGAACACACATCAAGACCCCACAAAAGATTAACAAGAACAAGCAGAACAGAAAATGCTGAGATGACAAATAACCACTGACCAACCTTAAGCACTACTTCCTGATGGTCTTTCAGTAATGCACGGTGCACTTGAGCTATGGATGCAGCAGCAATAGGTTGTTCATCAATAGACAAAAAACTGATACATCGTACATATGAAATCAATAACTTACATCTCTTTTAATCACTTACATGAAGGATACAGATTAACCCATCCACTAGTAATAACTTACATCTCTTTTAAGTCTGATCCAAGATTGCTGATTAGTACTTCTTTTATAGCTTCAAAAGAACATGGAACTGCCTAAAGTATCAACAAGCAAATATTAAGCGGAATCAAAATAATAAATGATAAGATACCAACAGACTTCGACAAGGTTAAAGGAAATGAAACAGGTAATGAAGACCTGATCCTGCAATGACGCAAGAGTAGAAGAGTATTCCTTGGGGACTTGTCGCATGGATGCCACAAACTGACCAGCTTTAATGTAGAACCCTTGGTTAATCTCACATAGTTTTAATATCCTCTTGGCTGAGCGTAGATGAACCTATATGACAAATATGAATAATATATAAGAGATGCTTACAAATGGTCCATCTTATATTGTATGGCAATGCACTGAGCAAAACTTTAGACAACATAAGGATTACTTCCCTTTCACAACTATTCCTCCATCCCATCTCTCTCTCAAGCATGCATTTCAAGCATAAAGTATGACAAATAGACAAGCCCATCTAAGGCTGATGATGTTGCAGATAAAGCTCGATGTCATAATGAATGAAATGTGAATGTCAATATGCATACAAAAGGGTGAAACTGTGACATTACAAGAGAATCAAATGAGAAAGTCTCAACTCTCAACCAGTTAACCAACTAATGCATCAGTCATTGAACGTTAAGAATTAGGCTTCAACAAAGTTTGAGGGTTGTGGTGGTAGTGGTGGCGGTGGTTTTTTGAAAAATGGGGAGGATGGAATTGAATTCCATCACATATGAATGGTGGAATCTATGGAATTCAATTCCATTCCTATACAAAGCAAACAACTGAATGGTACCAATTTCTTCAATTTCATAGGAAAGGAATCCAATCCTAACAACCAAACAAAAGCCCTGCATATAATTGATGAAATGCAGCAAAAAGAAAACGGCAACGGACTTCAAGTTATTGAAAACTGCCTAGAAGAAGTAAAATCATCTGAAAAGCAAGAACCTGAGAAAGTATTGTTCTATATTGATCCGTATCCGGGGATATGCCTTGTAACGAGTACTTGTAGTCAACAACATTGGCAGTAATCTGCAAAGTCTCTTACGCAATAAATCAAACTAAAGAATTCAACGGATTCGAAAATGAAAGAGTAGAGAGAAGGAAACAAACAGTATAGAGAGAGCGAGAGGACCGAAGGACACCGTTGAACAATGTAGTGATGTAGTGGAGAGGAGAGTGTCGATCGGGGTTTAGAGTATGATGATGATAAGTAAGAACGGCGGCGGCGCCAACGGCGGGGATGCTGAAAAGGTAGAAGGATGTTCTCCTTCTGAATTGAAAAACTTTGGTGGTCGTCATCGGAAGCGGGCGGTGCTACTACAGCCGCCGATTGTCTGTCAGGACTCAGGAGTCGGCAGTTCCCAACTTCCCATAGACCCCTCAACTTTACATTTTTATTTTCATTTTTATTTTTATTTTCTATTTCTGTTTCCATCCGCTCCAAACAGTATGCGGTAAAACAATCAGAATATACAAATTAGGGGAATTCGGAGGAAGTAAATTACAAATAAAAGATATTTGGAGATATTTTTATACAAATTATTACTTGTGTTTATGTGCAATGTGGCGGGAGCTGTGAATTTTAATGATTTTAAAATTTTACTGGTTTTATTAGAGAAGATTTAACGATGATATAAGTTACACTTAGTCTTTATATATTAATACAATTTGAATAAATAAGAATTACAGTTCCGATTACAGTCTATTGATAATAAAAAATTGAATGACAGTTTAAAATCCAAGATATTTAAAAGACTCCATAAATGTATTCGATTTATACCAAGAGAGCAAAGAATCAAGAGATCGAGACCGAGAGTTCTAGAGCAATTGAATGAGAGATAAATGAGAGAACTTTTGATAACTCATGGTGAACATCAATTTGAATCTCAGCTTGGGGGATGGGGAGAATACATAGAGGTATGAGATGGTGAAGGTATGAATGAAATGTGTCAAAAGTATCTTGAAAATATGAAAAGAAGATGTAATAATGTGCATAGGTAACTTGTACTATATGTTATTTTAATTGTAGATTAAGAGATTTTAAGAATGAATATATAAAGTAGTAGTATTTAATACATTATGAGTTGTTTTTAAGACTTTGTGCATAAATGTATATTACTTTGTGCATTAAAATTTGTTTGTAAGACTTTTGATAAATCTGGTTTATAATGTAGTATAGATATCATTATAATCATCTCGTAAATAACTTCAAAATGAGCTTAATATTGAATATTTTAGATTTATATATTATTAAATATCATAAATATATACGAATTATTTTGTATATTTATATTTTATCTATACTTCTTTGTAAAATATAACACTTATGGTTATATTTTGAATTTTTAAGGGGTGTTTGGGATTGCTAATAAAAGTTGTTTTTTTAACTTATTTCAATTTGACACCGGTGATAAGTTGTTTTCTAGTGTTTGGATAAGAAAAAAAAAAACTGCTTATACCGTGCCAAACCGGTTTGATACCACATAAGTTAATAAGCACTTTTACCAAAAAGCATAAGTTGTTTTAAATAAGCAATCCCAAACACCCCCTTAGAAGATGTAAATTTTAATGCTAAATATACACACACCCCATCCCCCATATTCACCCATCAAATTTTAACATGTACACGTTTTTAGTCATAGTGTACAGCTTATTGAAGCTACTTGAAAACCAATGTCATGCATGTTGCCTAACCCGTGATTCTTTCTTTCCCACTTACCACCTCCCCTAAAAAAAACCTCTCCACGCCTGCTTTTTTCATTTCTTTCTTTCTCGACTATGATGTTGGCGTCTACGGTAAATGCAACCCCACTCTCCCAAACAAAATATATCCTTCATTATCGTTGTCGTTGATTCTTCAATGTAGATTAATACGAGAGGAGCATTCTCTCTTCTTTTGTTTGTGTTCTTCTAAAGTCTTAAAACCAACAAAAAAAAAATCATTTTTGTTGAAGGAAACCCGGTGGTAAGTGTTGAAAATATCAATTGAATCCAATTCATAACTTCCCCATCAGCGACGAACCAAGGCAATTTATTCGATTTTCTTTTGGTTATCATTTCAATGTTGTAACCTTTCATGAATCATTCAGTTGATCTCAATTAAGGTACAATTCTCCTATAATTTAACCATAAGGGTGGTGTCTGATTGGGTTGAGATTGGCTCCAAATGTCAAAAGTACATGGAGGTCTCATGTTCAAATCCAATGAGGAATAAAAATTCTCTTGTGGCCATGAAGGTTCAAATGCGGTGACTCCGGGCTATCTGCAAAGCAAGTGGTCGTTCTGATATTAGTTGGCTCGCATTGTGGGTTGGATATTCAAGTTAATAAAAAAAATCTCCTATAATTTCTCGTAATTTTTGATCGGTTACCTTCATTTGTGATTCTTTGATTCCATGCTACTTTATAGCCCATTTTCACATGATTTCTTCCTATAAAAGAGTGGACAACAAATTCTCATGTACATTCTTTGTTTACTTCATTAATTTTTGGTCTTTTGGATTTTGATTAGACCAAGATCTTTTTTTAACAGTATGTTGTTAGAATATACTGGAAGTTTGGATGATTGACCATATGTTACGTAATTACTGCAATACTTATTTTGCACCCGTTATGTGTCTCTTGCATAAGTGTTAACTTTTATGATGCTCTAAGTTGTGAGGTTGATGGTCGTTAGTTTTTACAAGTACGGAAAGATGTTTTTTCTTAAGTATATAATATGTATATAGGACAAATGGAACAAATAAACTCACACACCCTCCTCACCTTTGGTGAGGTTTGAACCCTTGACCTCCTAGAAGGCCAATGACTCACATACCGCTAGACCAAAGGCCCTTTGGTAAGTACAAAAAGATGTTCTTTCCTGGATCAGGTGATGTTAAGGTACTTTGATATACTGATTTTCTATATAGTTAGTATTTAGCATGTGTTGTTTATTGTCTGTGGAGTTAATAATTCTGGTGACTGTAATCTAGAGGGATGAGTAAACTGAGAATAATTGGTAAAATTGTAAGTAAACTGATTAAAGGGTAACTATTCGTCTTTACCTATTCTTAAGATGGATTAAGATGAAAACGTATAATTACAGGTACTTCATTTGAAAATGAGATGTGTTGTATTATATCCTATGTACCATTCCATCGGAAGGGCAACCATCCGCCATAAACATGCCAATCTTTGTTTTTCCTGAATTGTAGTTCTCCTTTCAACTTTTATGTGTTAAAGAGTTAGACAGGGTTTTCGTGTCACCTGTCCAATTGGATCTTGATTATGATAAGCAAATGATGCAAGAGTAGAGGAGCAGCATCTTTAAGTTTAAATTTTGGAACAAATTGTTTTTATCTTCTTTTTTGGTACTTGATCATCAACACCCTGGTTCTCCAAGTGGCCAGATGCACAAAAAGAAAATCCGAACAAACTTTGGAAAAGAGATTTTGACCTGCCTTTTCCCATATTCTACAGGTAAAGGACCTTTACCAATCACTTACCCGGTAAGCGTTTACTGATAAAATCTAACATTATCATTTACTTACCAGGTAAGATTTTAGTCAAAAAAAGGCATCCTATACAACATTTACCCGGTAAGTGCTAACCATTGTAAGAGTCGTCGCCCTCACTTACCGGGTAAGACTCTCGGTCCTTGCCTCGTTCTTATTGGATAAGATTAACTGGGATTTGTGTGGTGATCTTTTCTAATAGTGCTACCAATCTCAAAACATCAACTATGGGGCTGTTTATCAAGTATTTGTCCCTAAAACAACAACTATATAGTGTTGTTATTGAGTGTAGGTCCATATAGGCTGATTGGGCCTGTTTTAAAGCATTTTCAGGGTTGTTTGAAGTCTGTCTCAAGGACGTTTAGAATCTGTTTAGAAATTGATTTTGATCAGTCCTTTCGTCTTTGTCTAGAGGGATTCGATAAGGGTACATTGTGAGATAGTAGGAGTATTACTTGGGGTGCCAATCGAGTTAGGATAGAACTAGTGTCACATAAATTTGTGCTCACATTTCTCATATTATCGATTTGTTCAGGTTGATAAATCATACTTGAGGTCTACACTTACCGGGCAAGACTCTTAGTCTTTGTCTCGTTCTTACCAGGTAAAATTCTTAGTTCTTATCATATTCATCCGGTAAGATAATGTGACTTAGCAAACGCTTACCCGGATAAATATTTGATAAACAATTCATAAGTCTTATCTTGCAGTAGATGGTGATGGTGATGTCAGTTATATATGAGTTTACTAGTTATCATATTACTGAGAATGTTATTTGGAGTTTAATTAAGTTTTAAATTTTTAGTTAAATGCAATTTGGCTAAAATTTCTAATCTAAACCTAACCTTATTTTGCTATTAACCTCAAAATACGTTAACAATCGGTTTGTTAATAGTTAACGTTATTATGCAAAACAAAATTGTTCTGTACATTTATTATGTATATTATGTAGGTGCCACGTAACTATTAATCTTCAATAATCATCTCACTCATCCAAAAATATTGATGTCTAGTTGAACTAGAAAATAGTAAATAAAAAATTAGCAGAAACTACGGGATTTTAATAGTTACGTATCCAACTTTGAATTATAGTTCAAAGATTTATAAAAGTTTAATTGGAGAACGGACATTTATGGATGAAGTTAATGGATAAAGGTGATCGATGAATACTACACGTCTTCTTCGTTAAATTTTCTCAAAGGATTAATTGGTCATTTTGTATGTTGAAATTCAAGTGAGATTGAGAAAATTATCCATTGATCATCAGAAAGAAGAAGATGCGAACTTGGAGCGAGAGGCTTCTGTTAGATTTTGTATGTTGAAATATGCTCGCTCATGTTTTGCCTCATCCTCGTCTGATTATGATGAAGTTAAAAAACCCTCCATAATGATTGGTGAGATTCAAGTGCCCATTGAACACGAAGTTCAATCTATTAAAAACCCATCTGTGGCTGTTGCTGCTGCTGCTGAAATCCTAATGTACTTGTTGAAACCTCTGTAATGCCTGCTGCTGAAGAAATGGAAATTGAAGTTCGCAGACGTCGACCAATGGAGGTTGATGTTGCCAATCTAGAAGGAGAAGGAGACAATCAGCGGATTGAAGAAATTCTCATTGTTCATCCAACTCAGAGTGTTGATGCTTCTACTGCTTCAGCTACTCTTGATCTCAATGATTTTTCTAGTGATAAATTTGACCTAATCAAGGAGAATATGCAAAATTTAAAGATGATCACAAGATTGTAGTGGAAATTATCAAGAATCATCACCTAAGAAGCTTTTCACCAAGCAGACAACTGTTCCGCTACAATACCTTAAGAAATGGTGGCTAAATTTTTATTATAATTTAATTTAACGTAACAAAATAATTTAATTTAGGTTTAATAATATAATTTTTTTATAAAAATAATCATTAAGTATTCTGTTAGAACTCCATGATTATCCTAATTATATTTTAAGATTTTTATATTTAAAATAAGATGTTTATCACGTATTTGATTATATTTATCTGCAGTTAGTTACATGAATTCAAACATAGAGCTTTAATAAGTTGTATTTACGCACAATTTACTTGTAATCTTGATTTATAAGTAACATACATTAATAAACAGTACTTCGTACATAAAAAATAGTTTTTAAGAGTTTTTGTCAAATGTTTTATAATCTAGTATAGACTAGTTGTGTACTCGCAATGCGGCGGGAGACGTAAATTTTAACGATTTTGAAGTTTCACTGGTTTTATTAGAGAAGATTTAACGATAATATAAGACTATAAGTTACACTTGGTCTTTACATATTAATACAATTTGAATAAATAAGAGTTATGGTTCCAATTACAGTCTATCGATAAAAAAATTGTATAACAATTTAAAATCCAATATATTTAAAATTCAACATATTTAAATGACTCCACGAATGTGTTCAATTTACAACAAGAGCAAAAAATCAAGAGATCGAGAGCGAGACCGAGAGTTCTATAACAATTGAATGAGAGATGAATGAGAAAACTTTTAAAAACTCATGGTGAATATTAATTTGAATCTCACCTTGGGGGATGAAGAGAAGACATAGAGGTATGAAAGGGTGAATGCATGAGTGAAATGTGCCAAAAGTATATTGAGAACACGAAAAGAAAATATAATAATGTCTATAAAGTAGTAGTACTTAATGCATTATGAGTTGTTTTTGAGATTTAAAAGTTTATGCATAAATGTATAGTATTTTGTGCAAGACTTTTGATAAATTTACTTTATAAGGTAGTATAAATATAGATATAGATAAAGTAGTTGTGTTATTAGGTAGCGTTTGTTACGCATACATAATTGGACATGACTGAACATGAATGGACTGGACAGGACATGACAAGAGGGTAGGACTGGACTGGACGGGACATGACTGAACATAACAGGAGTATGTCTGGTGTTTGGTACGACTAGGACTGGACGAGACAGAACTAGATAAGCTACCCCCAAAAGTAATTGATGATTTTAAATATTATATAATAGTTAAAATTAACACAAATAAAGTAAATAATTAAAGAATAAATATTTGTACATATTTTTCATATTTGTACCAAATTTAAATGAAAATTTTGATATAATTGATGGTAGTAGTGGTGGTGGTGGAGGTGTGTTATGGTGGAGGTGGTGGTGGCCGACGGTAGTAGTGGCAACGACGGTGGTGGTCGGTGGCCGACAGTGGTTATGGAGGTAAAGGCAGTGGTGCTTGGTGGACAACGATGGTTATAGAAGACATGAAGATGGTAGATTGTGGTGGTGGTGGCGGTTGACAACGGTGGAGGAGGTAGTTGTGGTTGATGTAGTGAAGATAATGGTGGAGGTGAGGTGACAATGAATAGTGGTGGCTGATGGTGGTCGTGGAGGAGGTTGTTGCAGTAGAGGAGGAGTTGAAGGTGGCGAACGGTGGTAGTGGTGGTGGCAATGGACAGTGGTGATCGGTGGTCGACTATGATAAATGTGGCAACGGACTTGGTGGACAGTGGTTGTGGAGGCGATGGAAGATGTTGTTGTAGTGGAAGAGGAGGTGGAGGTGGCCGTCGGTGACCACAAGTAGTGGTGGCGACGGCCGAAACTAGCGGTGATGACCATTAAAACAAATACTATATTAAGGTTATATATCAAACTATGATAGATTAATAATATTTTAGTTAACGTCCCATTCTTGTTCCACCTATTTTGGTGGAACAAGAAAAAACATCTTTTGTCCCACCTTGTCCTAGTTCTTGTCCATGTCCTATGTCGCGCCAAACATGGGACAGTGAGTTCTTGTTCTGTCCCATGCTGCGTCAAACATGAGACAATAAGTTTTGTCCCATCCTATCCTATCCTGTCGTGTCCCGTACCATGTACCAACGCAACCTTATAGAGTAAACGTGACTATTCTCTTCAAATAATTCATATTAAATGTTCATAAATTTAATTACTAAAAAAAACAATATCTTGCTTTCAAGCCATAACGATGTTGGTTTTTCAGATCTCGAACGACGACGACGACTACTACTACTACTTTGTTCATTTTATACGCAAATAGCAAGAGAAAAGCTTTTACCTCCTTTTGGGGATCCAGTTTTTTCATCACACAGAGAGGGAGTGTGTGAGATCTAGATCTACACTTCGATCTCTGTCTATATACCATATCCTAATCAGTTTTCATATATGTGAAGATGATGGAGATTCACAAATGCCTCGTCCTAGCATTGATTCTGATTTTCAGTGTAATAGGATCAGTCACATCGGATGCTTCAAATCACAAATACAAAAATGGAGATGTTGTTCCTCTCTACGCCAACAAGGTTGGCCCTTTTCAGAATCCAAGGTATTATCAGATCTCTTTTACCATCAACTTAATCGAAGATTGCTTTCTGATCCATTCATAGAAATGCTTTAAAGCAGCAGTAGATAGCAAACTTGACAACTCTGCATATCCTTCATTTTGTGTTTCCGTTGATCCAAAATGACGTAATTGAATTAGGTTTTCTTTTTTTTGTTTCTTGGTCTGGAAAATTTTAATTTTCTTTTAATGCTTCTTTAGCTAAATGTAGAGATAATAGGCGCAACTCTGCTTCTTAAGGCGATGGAGGTTGATTACCTAGAGGTACTAACTTTGAGTCTCAAAAATAAAAAAAAACTGGATTGCCATGGGGACTCTTGGGTGTGGCTTCCTGTGTGTCTCTGATAAATGTAGCCATGATATAGCTATGTTAGGAAACTAGATCCAGGGGTTTGTGTGAATGCTAAGGTTGGATGTTAGTTGCATACAATTGTCTGTACTAGCAAAAGGACAAGATGTGATAGTCAACATGAGGAAGGTTTTGTTATACGATGTGGGGGAGAGATCTCATGAACCTTTCTTGGTTCTTAATTTGTGTATGTAGCTTTTGAAGTATTGCACGATACAATGCAAAATATATTTTGAAGTTTGAATCTATGTTAGAAGGACTTGGGAACATAAATAGCAACCCTACAAGCTCTACTGTAAAAGCTAATATTCTTGTCAATCTTCCTTCATCCATTAACATCAAAGCTAAACTATGAAGGTGTCCTTCTTAGGCCTTGTCTTGAGGCATACCACATTCTGAACCTGTGTGACAACGTCACTAGTGTTGCAAATAGAAGATACAGATGAGTAATATTGTTTGATGGCAAACTAGTGTCTAGTAGGGCTTAGAAGACATAAATGATGCATATAGAATATCTTGAAATAGGAGATGAGAACTTCTTCCAAGTTAGAAAGCTGTGTGTATTTTAATCCCATCTCAAATAAGAAGCAGGTGTCACACTTGTTAGACAATGTTAAAAAAATATTTTGCATTTGTACAATAACAGGTTTATGAAATGATGGATGCATTTTACAGTTTTGTATGAACAGATATACTGAAGAAGATACTTGTACCTTGGAAGATGATACCTGTATCGGAAGATTATTAGGAGGGGTAGAGGTTGGCTAAGGTTGACATAGGGGAAGTACTTAAGATAGATTTGCATGAGTGAGGTATATCAAGGTTCTTACCTTAGATAGGAGCAAGTAGATGGATACCATTCATGCCTCAGACACTTGGGTGTTGACATGTTTGAGTTTCCTGTCGGGTTGCATCATTTTATTATGAGACAGTGTCACAGAAAACCAACATACTCTCATGCTGCAATATTCTCTCCCCTTGAACTTTAATATGCAACGCAAATGACTGTGAACTACTAATTTCATGCTTTTTGCTCCTATAGACAACAGAACCTTTATCTCTTTGCTTGAAATTGCTTGTGGCACTGTTTTAGACAACATAACCTTTTCATATATTTCTAATTTGTCATAAACAATGCTTCTTTTTGATGAATGTTTAAGGTATTATGTACAGTCAGGTTCTTGTGGGAAGAAATACATTAAATTTGAATTGTTTATTTCTTAACATATCCAGGGTGAGTTGTAAGTTGTGCAACCATACCTGTACTTTAGCTAAAATAAAGATAAATTTTCTTATTATGTAGAAAATTGCAAGGGAGATTCATTTGGTGCTTTGCTTATGCTTATGCTTAACCCATTTTAGTTTGTAGTATTTTTTTTGACATACGTAGTACAACAAAAACAATTTTGAAGGAGAAATCTGAGCTTTCATTATCTTTAGGGGAAAAAGCAATAACATTGGTAGCTCGCTGTGTTGTTGGTTGCATTTTGAATTAAAGGGGAAATCAGGCTGCAACATAAAACTTTGTGTTTTTTTATGTGATTTTTACTTGTATAATTTTGATACAATTGACTCAAGTAATTTGCTTGGGGGTTGGGGATAAATGTTCATCCCGATGCATGTCTTATGTATGTATGCTTAACAGTGTTCAAAAAGGCGCGCCGTGGCGGACATCGTAAGACGCGTCTCTGCCGTTACGTTTAGGCCTATAGTGTTTCTGTAAGGCGTGGCTCATGCCATGGCGCCTTGAGGCATGCTGCGGCATGCGTTTCTTTACAAGAAGTGACTTTTTTCAATTTTTTTGTTTTTTAAATGTTTTTTTAGCTTTTTTGTTTTACACTTTTAACTTTAGATCTTACACTTTTATAGATTTAGTTAATCACATCACTCACAGTTTCCCGAATTCATACACGTCATGTGCTCATGATTAAACGAAGTTGTAAAATTACTTTTTAAGTTTTATTTTGAATATTTAATTCAAGACTACTTTTTACAATAATAACCTGTATGATTTTTCTTCTTCTAATATTAATTTAAATTTTTTAATATCATTATCTAATTGAATAATATATAGAAAACACATGTGTATATATATATATATATATAATTCTGTATATGACATACAAATTTGCCGCCTTATGTGCCTTGGTGTGCAAGGCTTCAGGCTTGACCTCGCCGCCACGCCATGCCTCATGCTATTTTGAATCTTGATGCTTAACTGTGTAAAAATAATATATACGTTAGTGATGATGGACTAATCGCTAATGAGTGTATATATTTTCAATTTCAGTGAAACGTACCGCTATTTTGATTTACCATTCTGTTTGCCAGGTTTGATTCTTTATGCTTCGTTGTACTCCCTCAATCCCCACCCCTTTGAATGCACATTATTAACCACCACGTGTATACATCAACAGGTGATTTGAAAGAGAAAAAGGAAGCACTTGGAGAAGTATTAAATGGAGACCGTTTGGTCAGTGCTCCATACAAACTTGATTTCTTGGTTGACAAAGATTCTGAGTTCATTTGCACGAAGAAACTGACAAAGCAAGAAGTGGCTAAGTTCCGGAAAGCCATTACGAAGGATTACTACTTTCAAATGTACTTTGATGACTTGCCACTCTGGGGTTTCATAGGGAAATACGAGAAAACCGAGTCCAACGAGCAAAAATACTACCTCTTTAAGCATCTGCAATTTGAGGTGCTCTACAACAAGAATCGTGTTATTGAGGTGAACGTCCGGACTGATCCAAGTGCTCTTGTGGATGTTACGGAAGATAAGGAAGTTAACGTTGACTTCATGTACACAGTCAGATGGAAGGAGACTAACATTCCTTTTGAAAAGAGGATGGAGAAGTATTCACACAATTCTTCTCTACCACATCATTTGGAAATACATTGGTTCTCAATTATTAATTCTTGTGTGACGGTGCTCCTTTTAACTGGTTTCCTTGCCACAATTCTCATGCGGGTTCTCAAGAATGATTTTGTCAAGTAAGTGGTGTTTCCTTAATAACTGTGGTATGTTTTTCCCTCTTTATTCTTTACTTGACAGTTTATTTATTTTATGCATCAAAAGGTATGCTCATGATGAGGAAGCGGCCGAGGATCAAGAAGAAACTGGATGGAAATACATACATGGTGATGTCTTCAGATACCCAAAGTTCAAATCTTTATTTGCTGCTGCCCTTGGTTCTGGTTCCCAGCTATTTGCCCTGTAAGCCCGTCTATGATGTTCTTTTGATTATTTTAGGACTCAATGTCTCATTCAAGTCATGATGCTGCTCATCAATAATTTTAATTCTACATTTTGTGAACCCGCGTCTTGCTCGTTATTTTTGCAGTACAATCTTTATCTTCATACTTGCACTGGTTGGTGTCTTTTATCCATATAATCGAGGAGCTCTATTCACTGCATTGGTTGTCATATATGCTCTCACGTCCGGAATTGCTGGCTATACTGCATCCTCTTTCTATTGCCAGCTTGAAGGAACAAATTGGGTATGCCCTTTGGAATTTAATTTTTAAATTTTAGTAAATAGGTTATTTTTCTTTTTTCTGCTCATTGTAGAGGTATGGCAGGTGAGATCAGAGACACATTCCAGCTACTCATTATTTCATGTGTAGTTTCTTGAAGCAGAGCCTTGCAACTCTTTGGAATCATGATGCCTTTTTTTCTTTGAAGTATCTGAAAGTTGATAATTGATTTTGTTAGCTTTGAGAGACTTGCTTGAGACCATTTTTGTTAGTAAGTTGACCATCCGTAGTAGTTCCCATTCTTAAAATTGAAAATTGGTTTTATGTCATTTTGGGTAGAGAGAGATGTTAGGTAAAATATAGGAGGAGAAAATATGTGCGTTTTCATTGCGAAATTTATCTCATTAATCAAGTAGAATTTGTGGCATTTTGTGTTAGGTAAGGAATTTGCTGTTGACCGGAAGCCTCTTCTGTGGACCCCTTTTCATTACGTTCTGCTTCTTGAATACGGTTGCAATTGCTTACAGTGCAACAGCAGCATTACCGTTTGGAACGATTGTGGTAATAGCTCTTATATGGGCGTTAGTGACATCACCATTGCTAGTTTTAGGCGGGATTGCAGGCAAGAATAGCAAGGCGGAGTTCCAAGCTCCTTGTCGAACAACGAAATATCCAAGAGAGGTTCCACCATTGCCATGGTATCGAGGAACCCTTGCTCAGATGGGAATGGCTGGGTTTCTGCCATTCAGTGCCATCTACATTGAACTGTACTATATATTTGCGAGCGTATGGGGTCACAGAATTTATACCATCTACAGCATCTTGTTTATCGTCTTCATCATTCTAGTGATTGTGACTGCCTTTATTACCATAGCATTGACGTACTTCCAACTGGCTGCTGAAGATCATGAATGGTGGTGGAGGTAATTTCGAATAACTTGTCTTAGAAAATAAATGAACACAGTTGGTGTCTTTGGTTAATTAAGAAGATGATTAATATATGTTTGGTGGGTGGATGGATGCAGGTCTTTCCTTTGTGGTGGATCAACTGGGCTGTTCATCTATGGGTATTGCTTGTATTACTACTATGGGCGTTCGGATATGACAGGATTCATGCAGACCTCATTCTTCTTCGGGTACATGGCATGCATCTGCTACGGTTTCTTTCTGATGCTTGGTACCATCGGCTTCCGTGCTGCACTCTTCTTTGTTCGACATATATACCGTTCAATCAAGTGTGAGTGAGTAACAAACAAATTATATATCTACTGTAGAATTTGTAAGACAGACTACATGCAGTTATATGTTCGATCTAGGAGACCAGTTTCATTATATATATATATATGGAGTTAAATTTTCCTTTTCTACTTCTAGCTTGATGGGTAATGTTGGACAGTGGTGGATTATTTGGCAACAACTAGCTTGTTTGATTGAGCCATCCATCTCTTGTAGTTTACAATTACATACGTGCTCATTAATTAGTGAATGGATCATATATTTGTTATATTTATCTATTTACGGCTATTGCTTGTATATATATATATATATATATATATATATATATATATATATATTAGGGTTGGGTTCACGTGAGACCAAGGGTTTTTCGTGAGACCCGCAAGACCAATTTATGTTCATTGATCAATTTTATAAGCTAATGATCTAAAGTTACACGGTGGTAATTTTGTGATTATTGAGAAGTCTCGTGGCAATTTTGTGATTATGAATGTTCATATTGTACATCTAATCCAAGGGTTGAGAATTGGTCTTATTGGTCTCACGAAAAACCCTTGGTCTCACATGATTCCAAGTCTCTCTATATATATATAGGGGCTTAATCAAATAAGAACTGAGTTGTTTGTGGTAACTGTGAGAACCAATATAAGCCAATCATTTAAATAATTAATGTTATATCCTAAAATAACATAAAGGGTAAATTGGTAATGTTATAATTATAAAACCCTAGATGCTTTAGGTACTCTTCTCCTTCGTCTACTTCTTCTCCGGCCACCCCACCACCCCCATCTACTTTTTCATCGACGGTTTCCCCTGCTACAACCATCTCATCTTCTCCTTTATTGGAAAACCTTATCTCTCTTCTTTGATTTGGCCCTATGAAATCAACAACCCTTTCTGGTTTTGCTTTGATTGTTTCTTTGATGGCTTCAAAGCATTGACTGAGACTTGCTGGAGTGGTTCACGAGGCAGACGACGGAGACGAGACACGACAGAGGCGGTACGAAGGGGAAGGTTCGGGTGTGCTTTGCCTATTTCCTCGTCCCTGTGTTTGTGTTAGTTCGTACGGTGGTGCAGGGGTGCGTGCGTGTGTTGCAGAAGGTGAAAAGGAGAAGGGAGATAAGGAGATGGTGGCTGCAACAATGAAGGGGTAGCCGGAGAAGATGGATTGAGAAAGGAGGAGACGGGTAAAAATTCTGTGGTACATGGTGGTACCCAAATTGGTCAAATGGGTATCACAGGGTGGCCGGAGAAGATGGATTGGGAAAGGAGGAGACTAGTGAAAATTCTGTGGTACATGGTGGTATCCCAATTGGTAATACATTGGGTAATGGGTATTGGCCGGAGAAGATGGATTAGGAAAGGAGGAGACGAGTGAAAATTATGTGGTACATGGTGGTACCCCAATTGGTAATACATTGGGTAATGGGTATCACAAAGTGGCCGGAGAAGATGGATTGGGAAAGGAGGAGACGAGTGAAAATTCTGTGGTACATGGTGGTACCCCAATTGGTAATACATTGGTACCTGCCAGATTAATGTTCACCGGAGGCCGGAGATCGGAGGTCGGAGAGAGGAGTTTTTTAAAAATACCTAAAATGCCCTTTAATTATAATTTTAACTCAAATTACCATAATTACTAATTTCCTTATTTATCCGTTGATTTGTGGTTAAGATTGGTTTTCACAGTTACCACAAACAACTCAGTTCTCCCTTGAATAGGCCCCTA